GTTATCAGTGCTGTGAAGTGCGTATGCGGGCAGAGGGAACCCAGCAGCCTGGCAGCCCACACTGAGTCAGTGCAGCGGCCAATCTAAGAAGCCATTAGTGATTTTTAAGAAGTAAAATATCTACCCTTGAAATACAGTCAACCTCAAGCAATTTATTTGGCGATTTATGGGATGCTATGCGGCTTCCATATGCAATCTGTCTGAGGACCCCTAAAGAACTGTTCTCTGTTTTTCATGCCACTTTTGGGCCCTGGGAGGCTCCCTTCTACAAGAGACAACCTGGGTAGCCACTAAGGACTGAGGGCAGTCAAAGATGGCCCAGAGGCAGGACAACTAGGCGGAACCTTGCTTCACTAGCCCCTGTTCTTGGCTCTACTGCCTATAGGTGAACCATGAAGAAATGAAGCCACCACCATCCAGGAGCCTGTCTTGCCTCCAGGCTTTGAGAGATGTGAGGAACACTTGTCCTTTCCATTTAAGGAAGCGGGACTTCCAGTTGCTTGCATGCAAAACTATCTTCAAAGGTCTGCCTGTTGGACACTATTCCTCTTTTACTGTAGGCAGCAAAAGGACCTGCTCTGTCATACTAAGCTAGTAAGGGCTTGGTTTCCTCTTCCTCAAGATGAGGAGCTCCGCTGTCTGTGCACAGTCCCTGTGATCAGCCTTTGAAGTGTCACACTCAGGCTCCTACACAGAAAATCTTACTCCTGGGTCCCAGCCTTTCACTGCCTTTCTCTCTGTTTACAAAAGCAAACGGAGAACTCAGGAAATGTGCAGCAGAAAGGGCTACAGAAGAAGCTGCATTACTCAGTTAAAAGGTTTGAAAACCTAAGCAAATTCCTAGAAGTTTCTACCATTTCCTCCTCTTAGTCCTTGGTACACTGCTTTTACAGACTGGTTTGTTCTAGTTTCACTCTGATATTTGAATGGAGTCATTCCCTCTAAACTAAGGTCTTTTACCCCTGGGAATCCCAGATGCAACCATACTTGAATTCCTATTGAAAATACCTTCAGTGGAGAGACTGGGTCTTTCCAACTCAAAGTAGCTCTGTTCTGACCATAAGGTTGCTGTGTCCTTCCTCTGTTAATAGCGTCCACTCTGTGTGCTTACATCTCTGTAACCTGCTCAGGAAGTCTTTGCTCTTCACATCAGTAATCCTAGCACTGATCACTGTATGAACTCCATGTGCCCCCTCAATCAACCATCAACTCACACACACTCCCCACTTGCCCCTGTCGGCTGGTGTGCTGTGTGGTCACTGTGGCGTGAGTGTGACAAGACACAGAACGCCGGCCCTGCCCCTGGGGACCCTGCAGTGGAGCAGGGTGCCAAGTAACTTCAGTATTAGGCAGTCTCGGCAGTGGAAGGGGAAGGTGGAAGAGATGTACGTAAACTGCTGTGAGAGTTTGAGAAAGAGAGAGGATTTTCATCTGGGGGAGAGCCGACTAAAACCTGCATGGACAACCCGGAATTCAAGCTTGGCTTTACAGGATAGAGAGTTTGCAATGCGTCGTGAAGGGGAGGGCACTGTCCACAAAGAGACAAAAGGCAGAGGCAGGAACAGAATGGCAGGAAAGGTGGGGTACACTCCGGAAGAGGCATTTAACACAGTGTGGCCATGAAGACAGGAAGCAGGTTAAAGGAAGATATGTTGAAAGCCAAGCTGGGCCCAGGTGGTGAAGAGATCTGGATACTTCGTTTTAAAAAAAAAAATGATAAACCAATCCTGTAGCTGATCAAGAATCATATTTCTACCCTAGTAATTATCACACTATGTTTTAATACATCTTTCAGTGCAGGTGCTACCACATGGATGGTGACAGCTATAAGGATCTCCTTTATTCTTTGTCACCTCAGCATCTGGCCTAGCATTTGGTACACAGAATAATCTCAGTATGTTTGTTGAATGAATAATTGAATTCATAACATCTGTACTTTTTGAACAGCAATCTAGCACAGCAGAGAGAGAAGAACCAAAGTTGTAGAGGTGGCGATTTGAAGAAAGTAGAAGAATTCAGAGCCATGATCCCAGGGGAGCATAATGAAGGTGAGTAAGAAGGAAGAACAGACTAGAAAGATTGTGGAGGAAAAACCAATAGGTCTTGATCAAGAAAGAGATAAATAACAGTAGAAAATGGAACTGACCACATGTGTTTGCTCACAGAGTCGAGGGTTACAAAAGTGCTGGACAGCACCTAAAATTCCGGCCCCCATCATGGCAGGGATGTCAGTGTTTTAGTTTTTCCACTACTGTATTCCCAAGAGCAAAAACAAAGACTAGCAAGCTCTTCACATTTTTAAACCATTTTAAGTGAACATGTTGCATCTCAGATCATAGCAATTCAACCATTTATAAATGTCCGATTTAGTTTTTAAATATATATATATATATATATATATATATATATATATTCCTAATGTTTAACACTGAAAGTTTACAATTTGGAGTCATCTGCAGAAAGGCAGTGGTGGAGATGAAGATTTGCATCCGTCTGCAGCTAGAAGGTACAAGTAGAGGAAAAATGCAGAAATGCTTTGTAATTACAGAGAGTAAAAGCAGAGCCTGACTGCACAACTTTGTCCAGTACAGTAAGTCCCCAATTTATGAACGAGTTCTGCTCCAGAGAACGTTTGTAAATCGGATTCTTTCATCATCTGGCAAAGTGACTCTTAGATCGTACACCTGTGAATCTTACACAATACACACACTAAAGTTCAAAATTCAAGCGTTCCTAAGTCGGGGATTTACTGTATTCTAAGCATTTAAAGAGAACAAGGGATGAAGGCTGAAGCCTTGAATTTGACAAACGGTGGGGGGGTCTGTTTCCTCACAAAAGTAGTTTTAGAACTGTTGGTCCTGAAGATGTCCCATTATTCCTAGCCAGACACCACCATATAGAAGTATAAGCTTAAGGCACAAACTTACATTTGCATATAGAAATAAATATCTCTGTCTATCTTCAGGGATAGGAGTCAACCAAAATGTATTTGCTTTAAAGGAAGAATTAGGATTTTTTGCAAAAGGATGGTTGGCTCTGTCTGGATCTGATGGTAGACCCTTCCACTGGAACACACATTTGGTCAGAGCAAATGGAAGGTTCTCTGTTAAGTAAAAAGCATCACCTCGTTTCACAAAAGGCCCCTGCCCTACACAGAAGGCAGTTCCACCAGAGGGCTGTCTCTCTCTCTTGAAAGTGATCTTCCCTGCAATCTAGAGGGCCTCAGCCTCCAGGCACTCAAGAATAAAGTGAGGTTCCCAGGGATGTAGGGATTTGGGGTGACTCAGGGCATCCACCTTTTGGGGATGATGAGGAGCAGAGTGGAAGTCCCACATGACACTGAAATCAGCCCAGGCTGACTATAATCCTTCAAGAAAGAAAATACCTGCTCTGGCCTGGGTTCCTGCCACTGGAAAAAGCCCTTCCTGCGTCTTCAAACGCAGCCACAATGCTCCTAATCCTTTCCTGTGCCACTCCAGGAGGACAAGCACTCCTGAGAGTGTAGCAACATTTTACTGAAACCATGGCTAGTGCGTCCTTCTCAAGTAAAAGCTTCAGTGTTATTAACAGACCAGAACACCAGCTATCCTAGAAATCTAAGCAAAGGGGAAATCCAACTCCTTCAAAGAACAGCCAGAATTCAGAACGTGCTGGTGAACATCAAATGCCTTCTCTTTGTAAGGCTTTGGAGAAGCCGTTATCTTTCACCTGGTAAGAAGAAGCGCTCGGTGTGAAAGGACATAAAGTTAAAACACATGCTTGACGGCACCCCAGGCAGCCAGAACTCTAGAGACAGGGGAAATTGAGAGAAATCAGATCTGGGGCTTCAGTGGGACCTTAGCGGATTTGTTGAAAGGGATCTGAAACAGTCTGCATGAGAATGTAGCAATATTTTATTGGAATCACCACGCCAGCGGAGGGTGGGGAGCTGGTCCGTCGCTGTGGGCGCTGTGCTGGGGACACCAGGCCCTGGGGTTCTTCCCACTCCCCAGGAGCACAGGCACAGCCCGGCGCTCAGGAAAGCGCCCCGTGAGCGCAGAGCCTCCCCCATAAATCTCCATTAGATCAGCCTGAGGGCGGGTGGAGGGACAGGGCTGCCAGAACCGGCCTCTTTCCTGCAACGGCGCAAAGACCGCAGCCTCCCCAAGGCCGCTGGAGAGGGGGCGCCTGGGCGGAGGGCGGAGGCGGGGAGGAACGGGGTCCGCGCCCCGAAAAGCAGAGGCCAGCGAGCCCGCGGAGCCGACCTGGGAGCCGCTTTGAAAGGACCTCATAAAAGTGCCATTTGTTGGGAGCCCGGAGGAAGTGGAGGCAGCTTTGGCACACGTGGCCGCGGTGCTAAATTAACTGTTAACACAAATAATCAAAGTGCAGGACCCATCGAGCGGCTGGCGCCAGCGAAGCGCGGGGGCGGCGGCGGCAGGTGGAGGCGGGGGGGGGGGGGGAGGGGGGGCCGGGGACCCAGACTCCAGGCAAGGGGCGGAGGCTGGGCGGGGGCGCTGCTGGGACCGCCCGGAGCCGGGGCGGGCGGGCCGACGGGGGGCGCGGGCTGCTCCAACGCGCCTGCGCACGGAGGCTGCGCTGCTCCCTGCCTCGCGCCGGGAGGGTGCGAGAGGTGCTGCTGGCGAAGCAAACAAAGTCACATCTGAGGTCCAAGCCTTCGTAGCTCTAGAGGACCAGGCCTCGGGCTGTCCGCAATTGGGGTCCAGTGACCGCCTGGGGGCCCTGCCCTGGGAAAACACCCGCAGAAATGCCATGAGAACAGAAAGGTTGGGACAGTGTCACAGACCTGCTCCTCAGAGTGGCCCTGTGTGCTGTGTACCTGAGACCTTCGGTTTCAGTTGTGAAAGGAGAGTAAGAGTCGCTGGGCTAAAGCCCGGCTGCTCAGGCCCCTCCCAGGCAGACTGCCCAGCTGCTGGGGAGCCTGGTGAGGCCCATGGCGGATCCGCACCAGGACCAGGTGGCCTGTACTTTGCCACCAAGTAGCATGGAGTAAAACTTACAACCGTGAGTGAGGAGGGCCAAGTACAGCGATGGCGCCTGTTTTAGATGGCACCCTGGGATTCGGAGGTACTTCCTGGAGAATGGCCTCTAGAGAAGAGTCCTAAACGCCAGCTGATACCTATTCTGGAGGAAGGTGTTCTCATCCAGGTGACCCTGCAAAAAATCAAAACAAGGCAGAGTCAGATTTAGGCTGACAAACTGTAAAGGAATAAAGCAAAACAGAGAAGCCATCCAGCAATACATAGGAGCCCACAGATTCGTGAGGACACCACCCTGACACAGACACAGCAAACACATTTAACCAAAGCACCAGATTCTACTGCCTGAACCACTAACGAAGCAAACTGAACAGCTGAACTAATTAAGTTTTTAGAAGTGTTTTTTAATTGGGTTTAGTGGTTGGTGTATTTGTGTGTAACACATAGTTTATACAGACCCCACCAATTAATCATCACATCCTCCCTTCAGAAAGGATTAAAATCATTGAAAAAAAAAACTACCACACGCTACTTTGGTCCCCCTAGAAGATCTTCGTAAAAAAAAGCAAGCTGCTGAAATGCGTGGGCCACAGCTGCCCTGAGACAGCTGTGGAGGACATTAGGTGCTGAGGACCCAAAAGCCAAGCTGGCGCAGGTGATTTGAACCCGAGGTTATAACTGGACCACATTCTTTCAGCCAACCCACAAGGAGATAACTGAGGAAGGCCACTGAGTTCGTTATTCTGTATTTGTTCATTCGCTCATTCATTCAGCAAATTTGTATTGAGCATCTATTATTTGCCTGGCTCAGGAGCCAAGAACCAAGAGGGAAAGGCAAACAGCTGGGATTCACAAAGCCAGTCAGGCAGCCTTCTCTGAGGACCAGGAGAGAAACGTGGAAAGAAGCACTTTGTGAGTGACCAGCGACCACAGCCTGTGACCACTGAGAGTCCCAGCACCCACGTGGAAAACGACAGGGAGGTGGATTCCTCACAACACGCCTTCGAATGGTGACAGAGATACAGCCAGAAACATGCATGAGGAGTGCTGGCTCCTCCCAGCCTTGCATGAGGCTCTTTGCTGGGTCACGAGTTCATTCCTAATAGGGGCAGGCTGTGCTGTCACCTTCATTTTACAGATGAGACAAACAAGGTTGAGAGAAAGTAAGGACATTCCTCAGGCTTTGCAGGAATGGAGCAAAATCTAGCTTCAAAATAGTACTAGGTCTGTGGTTTTTTTAATGCTTGTTTTCTTCACCTCTGTGACCAAATATATGACACAAAAAAAGGGGCTATAGATCTAATCCTCGGAGAGCTCTTGCTACAGTATGGAGTGCGTGACGATGGCGGTGTAGTATATAAATCTGGGGTCTAGTCCAGGTCACATGGTGAGACGTGACACAGTTGGGAGGAGAGCGCAGGTCACTCATTCTGCTGGATCTGTGCTAAAAGCCACATCCCCTGTGTCCTATTACCTAAGGTAAATTATGATATTAATAAAGACAGTGATGAAAATTCACCATGCCTCCGACACTGCCACCTCATACAGTCTTTACAACTCGAGTAGGTAAGCATAGTTCCCCTTCTGGAAAGGAAGAAAGCACGACTGCAAAGCTTGTGCCTTTCACACAGTTAAGAGCCGGGATTTGGAACCTGGTGGTAGACTTCCAAAGGCTCTACTTCAGCTTGCACAACTGCTCAGCAAAATGCAGCAACTAAGAACCAGAAGTCTCTCTCCCAGCTCTAATGCATAATAATGCCAGGGTTTAAAAAGAAGCTACAAATTCAGTTTCTTGTTTTTTTTAAATGTCATTAAACTAGGTCAGGTAAACAGAGTGATACTGGGACTAGACTCAGCCAGCTCTGAAGATTCACAATGGAATGTATGCACTAGTTTGGAAAAGGGACAAATTATCCAGAAATGTGCCTTCGCTCGTGGTGCTAGCTCACCTCAGGCATGCAGACAGCCTACATGGCCCCTCATCAGCTACCCCGTGTCTCCTAGGAGCAGCAGAAATGGGGCCACACTTTGGTACCACCACTGAGGTCACTTTTCTAAGCCAGTGTGCAGCCGTATTGTTACTGCGCAGTGGGTCCAGCTGATAGACCCCAGCTCTTGTGTATGAGGAGCAAAGAACTGCAAAGCGTATACCTGATGGCAAGTGAAAAGCAGCCACATTCATTGAAGATTGTGGAAGGATGTGCTCAGGGTAAATCTGTGCTGACAGAAAAGAAAAATATGGCATGGATAGCAAAGAGGTGCTGAAGATAAAAAGCATTGTATTGCACCCAGATAAATCAGACTTTCTGAATGGATGCCTCCCATCGACAGCAATGATTGACAGGCTGCTGAGTCATTTTAGGGGCCCTCAACATGCATATCTGTTCCAGAATTTGCTCTGATCTTCATTAAATGGACTAAGACGTAGTGCATGTTGCATGAACTCTTAATAAACTTTGAGTAGGGTCAGTTGTGGAGACTGAATGTATGCTCTAACCTAGAGTTTCAAAGATTTACCATGGTTTTGTTATGTTACGTCCTACTTCTCTTAGGACAGTGGGAGGAGGAATGGCCCTGGAGTGCTATCCAAACTCAGATGGGTGGAGGGGAGTGATTTCCTCATGACATATGTTGTAGTCAGGGGTTGTGTGGTGAACAACTAAAATCAGGACATGAAATTTATAATATTTTTATAATGGTCACCAGGAGTTAATACAAGAAAATGCAGGAAATCTATCCACAACACCAAAGACATAGAATATTTAGTCAAGGGCCTAAATCCCACAGTAATGTCCAACATGAGTCCAGACGAAAACCCAGAGCTCATGACAATGCCTCCCACCAGTCCAACTGGAGGTCCAGAGACCACAAGAAGGACTCGTGCCAGTCTCTTTTTTTTTTTTTTTTTTTTTTTTTTGTCTTTTTCATTTTTCTCGGTACCAGGGATCGAACTCACGACCGCCTGCTTGCAAGGCAGGTGCTTATGCCGCTGAGCTAAATCCCCAGCCCCGCCAGTCTCTTTTATGGATCCATGCCAGGAAGGCCCAAGGGTCAGCGGTGGAAGCAAGAAAATCCATGCCAGCGGGGTGAAGGAGCTGTGCTGGTGAGATGACAGTTCTACACTGGTGCCAAGAAGTCACACTCACAACAAAGACTAGGGCTGTCCTGAAAGGCACCACAGCCATCCTCAGCGACATGGAGGCCCCAAGCTCCTCCGACGACAAGCACAGTCGAGTACATGCCAGGAAGCCAGCGTGACAAGTTCATCCGGAGACTAAATGGCACAAGTCTTCCCCTCCAGAGCCAGGAAGCAATGCTTGATGTGAGGACCAGAGTTTCTCCAGAACCAACGGCTCAAATAGCAACATGGAGGAGAACCCACAATGCTTCAACACAACAACGTGTTAATGCCTCAACACCTTAACAACCTGCTTCTCCTTCTCCATCTATTTATCCTGGCAACTTTCCTCAGGTGGAGCATCTTCGCTCAGTGCCATGCTGATGTAATCCAGCTAGCATTCAGTTGACCACCAGTTCTTAATCTATAACAATATATAACATCATACACATGCTATTAATATTCTGACTACACTAATACCATCTAATTCTATAGCCTATACTGTGGCTTGAAAGTGGATTATATTCGCCAGAGGCCAATTTGCTAAAGCCTTGATCTCCAGGGAGGTGGTATTGGAAGTACCTTAACCTTTGAGAGAGAGTCTTGTAGGTGGTACCTAGGTTTTTGGGAGTGTGTACCAAAGAACATTTCAGGACCCAATCATTCCCTCTTGCTCCACTGTCTGATTCATAAGGTGAGCTCTTTGCCCTTCCATGCATTCCCAGCATATGCTACTCTCATGAGAAATGCAATGCACTGGAACCATCTGACCTTGGTCCAAAACCTGCATAACTGTGAGCAAAATCAATCTTTCCTCTTTATAAGTTAACTGCCTCAGCTAGCTCGTTTTCATAACACAATGCTAACTAGTACAGCCCTCTTCTGTGGGGAGGGTGGCCTGCTCCACTCAGGGTGCCATCTGCTTCACAGTGAGTCATTCTGGGCATCTAGGGGAACTGATTGAAGTCATCTCAGGTACTAACTGAGGGGCTAGAAACAGTGAAAATCATCTTGCTTTGTTCCCTGCCACTTGGGTACCCCAAGTTCCAGCAACTCTGGGACAGTCCACCCAAGGAGCAGTTCACACCTGCCACACAGGAAGATGAGATGTGCCCGGTGGGCTCTTGACAGCCAGTGTCTCTTAGCTCCATGACCCTAAGCTGAGTCTATCTTGGCTGCTGAGGAGAAAGGGCAGCAGCCTACTTCAAAGCCCCTCCCAGGCACAGCCAGCTCTGTGCTGAACCTGAAGAGCACATCCCCCAGGACAGCTGTGAGCAAAATGATAAACAGCAAAAGTTCTCTATATCTACAATTATTCATAAGTAAAAGAGATCTCTGGAGATACAATTTTATATGCCAGGAGAGGCAAAAGTATCTCTCTGCTGTCTGATAGACAGTTTACTTTGGGTGCAATCATAAGAGTATAAATTCCGACTACAGTCAGACCAGAGTTGGACAGTGGACAGAGAGTCTCATACCACACCACCAACCAGTGGCTATGTCCTTGGCAGGACTCAGCCCAGCCCAGCATCTGACACCCCAGCCTAAAATGCCTACAGGACTTAAAGTAGAATTCACCTAGCTTCTGTGCAGGTGTGCTGAAGTGTGCCACAGTTAGCAGAGAGATTCTTTTAGAAACAGCAGCCACCGTTCCTCTTTCTGATCACAGAGGCATGCTGCAATCAGATTCCACAGGCAGGTCTGGAATCTCAGTGTCTCTAAGGGAATTAGTGCATCTTACTAGTGTGGCACTCATTGGGGCTGATTCCCAAAGTCAAGCAAGTGAATCACAGCTTTTCATGGACATTAGATCTGGGAAGCTGCAGACGCAGCTCTGGCCCAAAAGGAAGAACCCCAGCCCTGAGCCCCAGAGGAGGTATCTCTGTCCTGTTCCACTAAAACTCTGCCCATTCACCCACGCTCTCCGTGCCCTTCTCCACCCCTTTCCTCAACCACCTGTGTCTTTGGAAAAGCGCCTCTCACTGCTCACATCCAGATGTCCTGCATCATCTCTGAGCTAAGCTCCCCAGATCACCTGTGGGTCAATGCTCAT